AAAAAAGTAAACTTGAGAAAATATGGGGTGTGTGTGTTTATGTATGGAAGCCAACAGCATCTGGATCCCAAAGCACCCAAAGAAGAGGCAACATATACAAGGTGATAACCAGAGATTGGAAATATGAGTTACAGTACTGTATAAGAAACACTACTGCCTATAACTAGTGCTTCAGATCGGGAGCGTTGTAACAAAGGGATAATGATGTTTCATTTCAAAAAATAATGCAACTACAATAACTGAAGCCACATTATTTGTGTAATGAACAGCACTTTGTAATTATTTTGAAAGCTACTTTCCAGAGGCATTTTGACAAGATTCTTCCTAGTTTTATACCATTCTCTTTTATATCATCAAGTACACCCCCCAACAGAAAATAATGGAAAAATAATACAGTTTAAACTCAGTGAGTTGTTTTTCTCAGCAATTTAATACAGGCGTGCCCCACTTAACGATTGCCCCGCATTACGATGAATCCGCTTTATGCCGATGTTTTTTGCAATCGCAATTGCAAAACGATAGTCTAAATGGGGGAATATCGCTTAGCGATGATTGGTTCCCTGCTTCGGGAACTGATTTTCGCTTTACGATGATAAAAAACAGCTGATCGTCGGGTTTTCAAAATGGCCGCCGGGTGCTTAAAATGGCTCCCTGCTGTGCTTAGGGACGGATTCCTCGCTATACAGGCACCGAAAATGGCCATACAGGATCTTCGCTGGACAGTGAGTTTTTACCCCATTGGAACGCATTGAAAGGTTTTCAGTGTGTTTCAATGGGCTTTTAAATTTCACTTTACGATGTTTTCGCTTAACAGCGATTTTCCTAGAACGCATTATCGTCGTTAAGCGAGGCACCACTATAAATAAAAGAACATAAATAAATTTTCTGTGCTCTGGAGATAACACATATTGGGCATGACTGAGACAGTCCTGCCCATAAATCAAACTACCTACTCAACCAAACTGTGTCAATGTTATATAACAATTGCATCTAGATTGTCATTGCAGTTCAGTGAAGAATTTTAAAATGTTAACCATATATAAATAATCAAGCAGGCTTAATAAATAAATTCATCTAGCCATCAGTTATAAGCCTGTCTACTTTAATCCTTTATAATATCAGATATATAAGAATTATTCCAAATAGCATCATGTTACTTTAAACAGTTTGTTAGAAAGATAAGATCAGTTTATTGCTTCTATACTGACACTGTCAAATTTAAGATAGTTCTAAAAAGTATCAACCCACACACTTCCTAAGCAACTAAAACTAACAAGCCAAGACAAGTCTGCCATGCAACATTAGAAAGGCTTTTTCCTATTTACAGTTGCAGCCAGAAAACAATAACAGAAAATCTGACATATTACGGAGGAAATGTAGATGGAACTGTGTTTCCTTTAAGTAAAGAACAGCTTGCTTCATTTAGTGTTGCTAGTTGCTAGAGTTATATAATAACCATCAGTCAGAATTGTCCCGACCATGACTGAAGCAGCTTGATATACAAATTGCATAAAGAGTTGACAAGGTTTTTACAGTTCAAAATAACACTTTAACACATCTGTGTCGAGCGAAGGGAACAAGTAATCTATCAGAGGCCACACACCAGCACTAGACAGGGCTAAAGCTGTTCCACACTCTTTCCTCTCAGGATAATACCGACCATACACTTTCTTTACCTCTCTTTAAAAAAGAAATCTCTAGACACACAGACAGAATCTGAGACTGTGATGATCTTAGGAGGGAGAGAGAAAACAGATATCAAGGCTGTGAAGATTTTAAGGGTATTACCATTTCATGACTTCTCTCCCTCTCTCTTTCACATCATTTCTATCCACTCGTTTACACATGTACCATACGGGCATTTTTATGTTAGAGAAGGCCAGTGTACGGTGTGGATGTGAAAGAAGGGATTGATACATATAGTCATGCATACAACTTCACCAGCAAGGTATCTTTTGATACAATTCCAGGCGAAATCTGTGCAATTTCAGGCGAAATGTGCAGTTCCAGGCGAAATCTGTGCTTTCAAAGTGGGGAGAGGGGGCTGTTGTTACATCCAGGTAGGGACTGAAAGTGTGACATTGCCACAGATGGCCATGAGATACTGTACATAAAATGCAACCACAACCTAGGGGAAGGTAACAAAACAAGTATTTAATAAAGTGGCTCTGATTTTGGTGACCACCTGCTCAGGCAAAACAGCAAGTTACGCCCTGGTCCTAACAGGCTGTAGTCCTATCACAACACAGAGAACTGAATACAACAACACTGCCTCATGGATGCACAAGGGATACAGGTCCATTCTTTTAGAGGTCCAGAAACTGTAGCTGGGTCTTTTTGTTGGGACAAACTAAAACATCACATAATAGCGAGGATGTTTTCATCAGGCTAGAAGGTGAGAAAAGCAGTGAGGGATGGGCACTCAAAGAGAGAAAAAGTTGGCATGCTATTAAAACCATTTAATAAGGTTGTGGCAATGTAAGGTGGAATGCTGGAGAAGTTGCGCAAACTGAAATTGGATTAGCCTATACTAAATGCTTAGATTTTAGTTTCCATCTATGACTGCCGGGGGGAAAAACAATGATGACTAAGCCCCTATTTACATGGAATATAAAACCCAGCTATTACTCAGAGCTGTTTCCAGTGCCAGCTAGAGTATATATTGCTATATGTGTTGCGCAGTACTGTCTGGACTCAATTTATACATCAAGTCTAAACCACTTCTTCCTTATTTCTCCCAGCAAAAATCAACTAAAAATGCACAATCTCGTAATTGCACTAAGAATTACCCTGTCATCTTATAAATATGTTTAAGGAATGAAGGAAGAGTTCCAGAAACTACGCTTTGTATTGTCATAGTACTTTATTATTATTATTATTA